AGCAAATGGGAAGGCGTACTAGTCACAGATTTGAAGGCTCACTGTCCCAAAATTGATCTATAAATATAATACAATACCAATCAAAATTGCAGTAAGGTTTTTATATATAAAGAAGTGCTCATTCTGAAAATTTAAAAAATTTTGTTATATTTGTGCATATATATATGTATATACATATATATGCTCTGTGTGTGTTTGTGCACATGTGCATTTTCATACACATGCCACTCCTGTGTGGCTGAGCTCAGAGGCCAGTGATTAGGAGTCAGTTCTCTTCTTCTCCTGTCTGGATACCAGGAATCAAGGTCACACTGTCGGGCTGGGCAGCCAGTGCCTCTATCTGCTGAACATCTATCAGCCCTCACTCTAAAACTTCTAATGAAAAAGCATAGAACCTAAAAGAGGCAAAACAATTTTGAAAAGTAATAATAAAGATGAAGGCCTCACTTTCCTCACTTTCCCCGTCAGTAAATATCAGGTAGCATATGAATAAGTGTGCAAGTACATGCGTGTGCACATGCACACACACACACAAAGTGAATAAAGACATTTTTGAAACAAGATAGTATACTATTGATGCAGAAAAAAATCCCATGTTCATAAGAGACTTGGCTTTGCTAAGGCAACTCAATGATAATTTAGTGACATTTCCATAAATACTATTGGACTATTTGAATATCCATATGCAAAACCGATCTTCCACATAAATCCCATACTATTAAAGGAAGTGCAAAATGGATCATAGTGAAAAGTGCAAAGCTATGAACATTTTAGAGGAAAACAGAAGAAAAATGTTTTGGCTTTGGGATTAGGCCAAAGGTTCTCAAATTTAATTACTAAAATTCTAGCCAATGCCTAGGACTTTATTAAACTTTGCTCTACAGAAGACACCTAGTGGGGTGTAGCTGTGCTCATCTGACCTCAGCACATGAGATGTGGAGACAGTCAGGGTTAGAACTTCAAGTCCAGTCTTAGCTGGAAGCCAGCCTGGACTACATGAGACCATCATCTTTGAAAGAAAAAAGCAGTTCAAAGAAGCTACAAACTTATTTTTCATTCACTTGTATTTAGAATCTGTTAAAAAAAAAAGCTCCAAACTGGACAAGAATAAAGACAAATCCATTGGGCAAGGTGGGCATGGCAGCTCATGACTATATCCAGGCTACTGGGGAGGCTGAGGAGAGTCCACAAATTGAACATGTGACTTCCATCTCACAAACAAAAGCAACAGGAGGCTTGAATGGGTGCTTGAGTCAACTAGTCACGTGGTAACCAGCACCCAGGGAAACACCCCACACCATTTGCCAGTCATTGGGGAAACAAACACAAATCTTGCAGAGATCACACTAGGCACCTATTACAATGATTTGGGGTGAAAACCCCCGTAATGTCACTACTACCAAAGAAGCAGAACATCTGAGTCTCTCCTAGGTAGCCAGTGGGACATAGCAGCTATAAAGTAGAGTTTGAAAATTCCTTGCAATGTTGGGCATTCATTTTCCATTTGATTCAGCAATCCCTCTCCTACATATTCATACCGGAGAAAAGAAATTTATATTATGCAAAAATCTATGCAAAGCTTTTTTAAAAATGTGTGTGTGTATGTATGTATGTGCATGTGTGTGTGTGCATGTGTGTGTGTGCATATGTGTGTGTGTGCATGTGTGTGTGTGCATGTGTGTGTGTGCATGTGTGTGTGTGGTGTAGCTCATCCAGCTTTTTATGTGTGTTCTAACAAACTCAGAGCATCAGCTTTGTGCGTCAAATGCATCTCTCTACTGGCCAGCTTCCTTCTCTGACCCATGATGCACTGTTCATGATAGCCAAACTCTAGACATGACACTATGGATGTTATTCTATAGGTGAACTGATAATGTGTGTTCATCCCTACACTGGATAGTATTTGTCAGTACGAAGACACCAAGCTGCTTTTGCTCCTGTTTTGTCACAGCAATCGATGTCAACCAGAGCGCCACCATTACGTATCCTACGCGTTCACCCGCATGTACACATGAAGTTATGTGCTCTGATATGTGTACTAGACATATACTCACTAGCGCATTCATACTTACACTGTAGTACTCAAAGAGTTTGCCATGCGCACGGGCACACACACACACAAAGAATCATGCATTCATATACACATGATAGCGCACACACACACACTAACACACATTCCTTCACATGCCGTGACACATGGATACATGCACACTCACCTTCCTCGTACACAAGGAAATTGTGAATTCACAGACACATGCATGCGTGGACTCATACACTCACACAGATGCACACCTATAATGTCATTCTTAGGTGTCACAAAAGACAGCAAAGTAGGAACATTTATAGACATAGAGGAACCTCAGACAGGGCTCTACTTGGCTTCTGCTGGTGAAATCCCTTGCCCATCCTAACCCATCTCCTCCATGAAAAGAGGTGATCCTGTGGGTAATTTCCAACCTTACTGCTTACCAGTAGGTCTCATCGCTGGACCGGAGAGCCCTGGGGTCTATCCTGTCAGGTAGATTCCAGGTACATCATGTTACTTCACGTCCTCATGAGTCCCATACTGAGTCCACTGAGAATTTCCCTGACCCCAAACTTTTCTTGGTTTGTAACTCACTCCCCATTGCAACACTGAGAGTGGTGATTGCTCTCAGTCTCAGACATTTTTTCTAGGAACATTAGCCCTACCTGAGGTGTAACCTGGACTAACCAAACCACAGCCTTTGGAGGTAAGACTGACATCAGAATTTCTAGAAGCCCCTTGGGTTATGTCAAGATCTGCCTAGAGACTGCCTGACACAGGCCAATGTTGATCTGCCCTTCAGAGAGCCATAGCAAAAATAGAGGCAGAGAGGACATCTCTGTAGAGCAGAGGGCCAGCAAGCTTCTGAGAAGATGTGATTCTCAGAGTAGAGCTCTGAAGGATGAGAAGGAAGAAGGTAACCCTGAGGTTTCCCTGTGGTTTGTTCCTCTGCTTGCCTGGAACTGGAAGGATGGGGAAGCCCCAACCATTCGCTGAAGGTCAGTTTAACTAGAACTTTGAAATGAACATGGATAGCTGGTCCTTCAGCCCCCTCTGGTTTCACCTACAATTGTTTTGCAGATAAAGAAGGCTGTACTGGGTGGCAAGGGGCTGAGAAAGCCTGGACAGGGCACAGCAGGGGTTGGATCTTAGTGTCGCAGGAACATGTTCAAGCTGGGGCAAGCTCAGTGCTGCCTCTGTGCCAGATTCACCAGTTGCCCTGATCTCCCTCTTTCCCACCTAACCCCGTGGGATGCCCACCCAATATCATGAGACCATGGGTCTCTGGAACTTCTCCTCTCGTGCCCTGCCCCTTTGCAGCCTGGGATGGAGAAGTTCAGTGGAGGTGTATCTTCTATGTGTCTGGCATTGGGCATGGGATGAAGATTTGGTTTGGTTTAGTACTCTTCAAAACTGGGGAGATCCCATTGTTCTGGTGGGTGGGCTCACTGTAGCCCCAGGCTGGGTCTTTGCCATTTGGTTGTTGAGCAACTTCCTGTGACACCCACTCATTATCTTCTGCCAACAGGAGCCGGTCTGATCTAAATCAAATTCTCCCAGCTTGGAAAGCCTTGCTGCATCCCAGGGGACTTCTCAGTAGCCCAGGGCAAGCTTGCCAGTGAACAGCAATTTAGCCCCAGGACATGGAGCATGGACAGAGATCAGGTCAGAGTCCAGCCAGAGAGGGAATTTGTACTACTTCTCCCTGACTGGGTGGTCTTATAGAAGGCCTAGAGGACCAGCAGGGATCTTGACACTCAGTAGGTACCCAGTCCCTTGTCGTGTGTCCCCCCTCCCCCGCCGCACATCCTGCAGCTGTTTATGCAGCTGTTGCATGTGGCATGGATGGAGAAGCTGGTGGGCTTCTCCATCAGGACTCTCATAGAGGTAAAGAGCCTCTCTCTGTCTGCTGAAACGGGTTTGATGGAAGTTGACCCTGAATCTGACAATACAAAGTCTCTAGTATATATATATATATATATATATATATATATATATATATATATATGTATATATATATATATATACACACACATACATACATACATACATACATACATACATATATATTGGTTTTTCGAGACAGGGTTTCTCTGAATAGCCCTGGTTGTCCTGGAACTCACTCTGTAGACCAGGCTAGCCTCGAACTCTCGAACTCAGAAATCCACCTGCCTCTGCCTCCCAAGTGCTGGGATTAAAGGCGTGCACCACCACCGTCCGGCAAAATGCATTTTTATTTACATTCTCAATTTTAAAAATCAGTTTCCAGTGGTTAATAATAATAATCTGGCCAAGCAAATAAATCCAGTGGGAATTGTCAAAAATGCTTCTTATTCTTCAATATCAAATATTCAGCCAAGATTTAATTCTTCATGTAAAAATAAATAAGCATATCAAATTTCCTTTAATCTTTAATAAAGGATAAAATTATATTTATACTAAATATTAAAAAAAAAAAAGGAAAAGAAAAGACAAGACTCTGCTGTCCGTATGGATGTGTAAGAAAATGTAATTTCAACTCTGAGGCTTCAGGTACTCAGAATAGGACCACCTGAGGATCCTTCAGACCACTGCTAAGAATTTCTAAGAATGGTTAGGGTGTGGTGGCAGCAAGAATATTTCAGTTAGGAACGTGAATGTTGGGTTTGGAGAGCGCGGACATTCTCTAACAGAATTGGTCGGCCAGGTGTTCTCACCGAGACCCACAAAAGATCAATGTCTCAGAAGTCCCCGGGAAACTTTCCCCGACTGGCGATTCTCACGCGGAGCCACCTTCTCCCGCTGGGCTGCAGCAGCCCAGGGCGCCTGCGATGACAGATGGGGGACCCCGCTCCTTTCTCCATCAACTAAACCCTAGCCCGAGATTCCGCTCCAAGTCCCAACTCCAGCTCAAGAGTGGAACGTGGCATGCCCCGGCCTCGGCACGACCTTCTCGGAGAAGTGGGACCCCAAGACGGGCTGCGGGGACACTGACCTGGAAAGCCCGCGCTCCAGGGCTGGCGAGGAGCAACAAGAGAAGGACGAGCGTGCGCTGAGAGCCCGGTCCCATCCTGCCCTGCACAGCCTGGCTGGTGGGGAAGGCAGGTCGTTGTTGCCTGGCTGGCCCTGAGTCCCCACGGTGTGCGGGTCCCTTGCAGCTCCCAAGGCCACTAGCGTCCTCAGCCGCCTGCATGAGACTGTCCGGACGACGCGGGGAGGCGCCAGCCTTGTGGCGGAGGCGAGAGAGGAGGGGCTGCGGAGCCTGGAATGCGCCTGGGAGCGCGCCCAAGCCTCTGCTCTGGGAAAAGACCGGGTGCGACGCCTCGCGACCAAGGGTGGCCAGTGCCCACCCTGGGTTGCCCCACTGTCTGCTGTCCCCACTGCCTGCTGAGGGCGACCTAGTCCCCTGCCAACTACACGTGGCTGATTGATGAGCCAAACTTAAGACTGTCCTACTTCAAAGCCCACATTAGGACACCTTCCTTCCTCCAGTACAGCAGAGAACAGGGTTAGTATGGCAGAAAGATGGTTTTACATAAACTTGGCCCAGGTTAGACCACGTCTTCTTAAAAACTGTGGGCTGAAAAAAGTGGGAGCTGAGTTACTTAATTTAGCAAATGGTAAGAACACAAAAGCAAATATTATTTCAAAATCAAATATAATAAATCCAAGACATCCTTGGTCTCCAAAACTGGTGCTGGTCAAATGCCCAGGGCCACCACGGGAATGACCCCCCCCCAACACCTAGGACACTTGGCTCAGATCTCAGACTAACTTAAGAAATGAAGTGTTTTTACTGTACACACAAAATTTTTTCTACTTTGTACTGCTTATTTATGTGAACTGGTGTGCTTTCTGTGACAATTATAACCAAACAATCAATTCGGGGGAAAAACTGTCAAAAATGCTTCTTATTCTTCAATATCAAATACTCAGCCAAGATTTAATTCTTCATGTAAAAATAAATAAGCATATCAAATTTCCTTTAATCTTTAATAAAGGATAAAGTTATATTTATACTAAATAATTACTTTAAAATAAATTTATGATTTATTACCAGTAAGTGTTTGCTTTGTACACTTTATTCTTGTTCAGTTTCGAGCTTTTTCCAAGGTTGCAGAAATATTTCTCAGTGAAAAGGAGTGGGAAGTTTAAAGGGCTCTGAATTAGACTAAGCCACCCACTGGACAACTCTGCCAGTTTTAAAGATAGTGCTCCCAAGGGCTTTAGGAGGGTGCTCAGTGCCTAAGAATCTATGGCCTTCCCTCTAGTTTTCTGTCTGTTTCCCAAGGGTTTAAAGTAAAGGCCCAGCTACAGTACCCGGCTAAGGTCTGGTTAGGTAACAGCCCTGGGGTGGACAGGCATGGAATTGAGGTCCCTGCACCAAGGTTATGGGTGAGCCAGATGCCTCAAATCTCCACCCTTGGAAAATGTAATTTTGTTCTCCCTGCAAGAACATTCTGTGACGCTCACTCTTACGTATGGAATGGTTGTGAAGCCCCTGACCTGGAGCTGCTTTCGATGGGAATCAGAAGGGTAAGCTGTGGGTCCTCTCTTGGCCCACTAGAGCTGCAATAACAAAAGTGCTCCAGACTAGGCCATGTACAAACAATACACATGTGTGCCTTGCGGCTCTGCAAGCTAGAAGGTCACCATCGAGGCATCTACTGGCAGATTCGCTGTCTGGTGAAGCTTACTGCATCCTCACTTGTGGGAACAGACAGTGGAGATCTCTAAGGATATTTTTTTGTGGGAGGGAGTAGGGGGAAGGAGTTGAGACAGGGTTTCTCTGTGTAGTCCTGGCTGTTCTGGAACTTGCTCTGTAGATCAGGCTGCCCTTGAATTCAGAGATACTCCTGCCTCTGCCTCCCAAGTGATGGGATTAATGACATGTGTCCCCACCCCCCAGCATGAAGTCTCTTTTGTAAGGACACTATAGTTATCTAATTCAGAAATATCCTAAGGCCACGACTCCTAAGACTACCTTACTGAGGAAGGAGTTCAAAATATGACCATAGCCAGTTCCCTGGAAAGCACGGAGCATGGGGCACTGGGCATGGGACCTGCCGGCCACCCAAGCATTGGCTAGCCAACAAATCCCACTGAGCTGTTTCCTCCCACCCCTGCAGCAGAGCAAAGTCCATGTCCTTGTGCTTTGAAAGTCTTGCCGAGACACTCAGTCAGAACACTGCATGTCACTGTCCAGGTACAGAGAAAAGGATGGCTGCCAAACCAGGGTAGCACGTAGAGATGGTGGGTTTCTGTGTCAGTCTCCAACGTGTCTGCTGGCTATGAGAGAGCCACCCGTTTCCTGGCTGTGCTTGCCTCTCCCGGTGAATGAAAGCTTTCATTCTACTTGGAGTGTCTATTTATTTTTACTTTTAATCTACCCCATATTTACATGGCAACTTTCAAGCCCTCTTAGTGGTTCTGGTTACACAGTGGACACTAGAGGCTGAGCGGATGTAAGCAAGCTCTCTTTTCTCTCCTTTTACCCTTTTCTGGGTCATAAAGCTGAGACACACCAGATTTCAAAGAGGAAGACAATGAAACAGCGTGGGGGCTAACCTCCTTTGACTGGTTTGAAGTCACTTAGGAGACACACCTCGAAGGCTTGTTCCCAGAGAGGTTTAATTAGGAGAGAAGACAGTCTTTGAATGTGGGTGGCACCATCCCCTTGGCTGGGGGCCTGGACTGAGGAAGAGGGGGGAAAGCAGAAGCCAGATGAGCTACAGCCTTCTCCACCATGCAGGACTCAATCTATGAGCCCAAAGAAGCCCTTCCTCTTTCACTCGCCTCTTTTTTTTTTTTTTTTTTTTTTTTTTTTTTTTTTTTTTTTACAGGGTTTCTCTGTGTAGCCCTGCTGTCCTGGAACTCACTCTGTAGACCAGGCTGGGCTTGAACTCAGAAATCCGCCTGCCTCTGCCTCCCAAGTGCTGGGATTAAAGGCGTGCGCCACCACCACCCAGCTTTCACTTGCCTCTTGTCAGGCATTTAGTCCTAGTAACAAGGCAGGCTAACACAGCATGGATGGTGACCTGCCTGGGGTATGCAGATTCCAGTCTAAATGTCCCCTGTCAGAAAGGTGCTTCCAGAACATACCATCTCAACCTAATCCTCCCTTCACTTTTAGGAACCTAAGGACTTCTGCAGTTTTTATTCGAAGTGGCACAAATGCCTCTGCATTTTGTCGTTGTTTTCAAAAAGTCAACGGGAACTTTAGCTTTTTTTGTTGTGCCTATTTGCTAATTTACGTTTGTGACCTTTGTCCTGTGGCTGACTCCCATTAGTGTTCAGGAGTCATCTGAACTAATTTTCTGAGGTCTGGCCACCCTTTTCTCTCTGTCCTCAGCTATCCTGATCCGCAGTAACCAAAGCGGATGCTGCACAAGCAAAACTTGCCAAGGCTATCTCAAAAGCGACTGGCAGCTGGAGCAATGCTCAGTGCTTTAGAGCACTTGCTGTTCTTGCAGGTGACCTGGGGTCAGTTCCCAGTGTCCACGTGGTAGCTCACAGCCATTCCTCTCTCCATTTCCAGGAGATTCGACATCCTTTTCTGGCCTTTGTGGGTACCTGGTACACGTAATGGTGCACATACATATGTGTAGGTAAAACACTCATACACATAAAATAAAGTAAATCTAAAAAGCAGGTGGCTCTGAATATAAGCTCTACAGTTAGGGCTCTCCTTCAGCTTAGTGAAATGGGCCTATCAGCTAGTCTGCTCCCTTTGCTTCCTCTCTGTTGTGTTCAGGAGAATATCTGGGGATACTGGAGGGCTGCCTTGGTGATGGTCACATCTAAAGAGAATTGTTTTGAAACCAGGGAGATGTCTCAGTAGATAAAGGTTCTCGCCACAAAGGCTGATTACCTGAGTGTGATCCTCTGACTCTACACAGTTGGACAGAACCAAACTCCACAGTTGCTTCCTGACCTCCACATGGACACCATTGTGTGTGAGAGAGCACATACATATACATACATGCATACACACATACATAAATACATACATACACACATACACACACATATGTATTGTATGTATTGGTTCTTTGTGAATTTCATATCATGCACCCCAATCCCACCCATTTTTCCCTCCCCTCGTACCCACACTCCACCCTTGCAACCTCCTCCGCAACAGAAGAAAAAAATCTCATTGTGGAAGCTGTAGTGTGTCACAGTGTGTCCCACAGTATGCCATTTTGACTACACATCTTTACTTGCAAATGTTCATTTCAGTGAGTCCTTGGTCTGGGTTGAGGCCTCTGGTTTCTGCTGCACCATCAATACTGGATCCTCACTGGGACTCCTCTCAGATACCCTGTCATTGCCCTGTGTCTTGGAGATCCTAGAATTTTGGATCTATAATATTGGCCCTTTTTATATGTTCCAACAGTTCATAGATGGGGTAGATGCTGAGGTGGGCTAACTCAAAGCCCTAGATCTGGGCCTGAGGGGTATCTGAGCTGGTCAGCCAGCTGGCTCCCCGGTTTTCACGCCCTCAAGGCCGTCTCACCAGTAACTCCTCAAAACCAGGGCTAGCTCTGTCCTGCAGTTCAGCCAAGGTGCAGGGCCCACTCTCCCAAGTGCTACAGCAGGTGAGGGTCATGGCCAGTTCTCCAGCTCTCATGACTGTCAGGGCCAGCTCTCCTGCCTGCCACCACTGGAGAGGGTAAAAGGAAGGGGAGGGGAGCTCTCCTTCACTAACGCCACCACACAGCAGACAAGAGACAGAGCTGGCTCTCCCACACTCACACCCTCTGGGCCAGCTCACCAGTAACCCCCCAAAACCAGAGTCATCCATGCCAGGCAGGGTGTGTGGGGGGGTCATCTCAGGCCTGAGGCCCTCCTCAGACCTGCTCAGCACTAGACTAGTGGTCATCTTTGTCTAGCTCCCTGTTGGGGCTCCATAGCACCAGTCTGGTGGGCTTCTCAGGCTTATTTCTTGCCTAGCCCTCCCGAGTGGCCCCTGGGTCGTCTTTCTCTAGCTCACTCCCAGAGGGTCCCAGGCAAGGTTCTTCTAATCTCCAGCTTGCTACCCATCCTGGGAGTCTATCCAGGCCTGCCTGGCACCAGACTGATGGTTGTCTCAGGCCTCACGTCTTATCAGGGATTGTTAGGCTACTAATCATTCAGATATTCGTAGGTCAGAATACGGCATAGACAGCATAGACATAGCCTCTCTCCTCTCTGCCACCTACTGACGCACATGTGACACAGCAGCCACACCTGCTCCTCTAGGTGCAAGGACAAATACAGGTTTTTAATGAAAGAAAATGGTTTCAGGGAGCCATGTTTCAGAGAGCATGAGGATGTGGCACCGTTGGTAGAATTCTTGACTGATGTCAGTGAAACTTGAGTTGGCTCCCAGCGCTGCACAAAGCCCCGGAAGCACTCACCTGTGATACCAGTATCTGGGAGGTGAAAAAAAGACTGCAAAGAATAAAGAGGAAAGTTGAATCTTAATTTTTACTAATGTTCTGTCTGTGTAGATCAGAGACAAACTCCTGTGTCATTCTTAAAGTACTGTATACCTTTTTCTTTGGACATAGCATCTATCCTTGGTCTGGGATTTGCCAAATAGGCTAGGCTGGTTGGCCCCAGGATCCTCCTGTCTCTGCTTTACCAACACTGGGATTAAAGTATATCTCACCAGGGCTTGGCTTTTTGAATGTGGGTTCTGGGTCTCAATCTCAGGTCCTGCTGCTTATAAGGTAAGCATTTTACTCAATGAACTATCCCCTCAGCATTTAAATTATTTGCTCATTCATTCATTCATTTATTTATCTGATAGGGTCTTACTATGATTACAGAAATCCCACCACTCCTGGCTAAGAGAGAAAGATTTGTTGTAGAAGTCTATGTGGACCACCTGGCTACTGGCAGCATGCAATGATTCCAGGGCTGTCCTGTGGGGCCTTTGTGGTCCCTTAGGGTGTCCACATCATGGTACTTCTCTCCTGATACTTGCATGGCTCAGTCTTGCTGTCAGCACATTCACAGCTCTGCATCTGTTTATGACTCTAAATGTCATCAGCCTCTAAGAAGCTATTCTGAAGGTCTCAGGGACAAAGCCTGGCATGCTAGTCTGACCGGGGATGACATGGCAAGAGGAGGGAGGGGCTCACTCAGCAGGAGAGCCATGACCTCATCCAGTTCCTTCGCTATACAAATATTTATCAAGTGCCAACTCCAGGCCTGGCCCTGAGCCAGGTGCTACATTATGCTCACACATTATATCGGTCAGCAAGCCATGCCGTTGTGTATAACATGGAGGACATTGTCTGGCTGTGTACAACATCAGGATGGACCAGAGAAACTATTAGCCCCGAGGATCACTTCCAATCTTAAAAAAAAAAAAATGCCTATTAAAAAAAAACCCAAAACCTAGACTTCATTGTGTCATAATTACAGAACAAGCATCATTCAGTGTCTGCCAAGGGGAGAGAGGCTTTGAAAACCCACAAACGCCTTTCCATAGGGAAGGCTAAATGCCCGTGGAAGGGGCAGAGCCGTGGGCTCGGTTGGTAGATGATGCAATTCTTGGAGTCAGACATGGCTGAGCTAAACCTCACCTGAGTAGGTATCAATGGGGACTTGTGGCTCTCTACCTCTTTCCATTCCTCATTTATATGCAAATGAAAACATTTCTCAGAGTCAATAAGACACTCTAAATAGTAAAGAGCCAGACTTGATGGAGGAGTCAGGATAAATAACACTAAGGATGTTTCAAAAAGCTATAGGAAGCCTGGTAGTGGTGGTGCACGCCTTTAATCCCAGCACTTGGGAGGCAGAGGCAGGTGGATTTCTGAGTTTGAGGCCAGCCTGGTCTACAGAGTGAGTTCCAGGACAGCTCGAGCTACACAGAGAAACCCTGACTGGAAAAAAAAAAAAAAGGAGAAAAAGAAGAAATAGGAAATTATTTTATGTTTACTTAAAATTATATATAACATATATACACAGAGCTTAGTTGAAGTTATACTACTTACTTGGGGTGATAATATCTCCTTCCTACAAAAAAAAAAAAATCACAGAGTATCTAATAAAACCCCCAGTGTGTGGCATGGGGCACTTCATTTTGAGCTTTTGATCAGAAGAGTCTAAGAGACTCACAAAACCATATAGGTTATTGCCGTTGTCCTCAATGCCTTCCCAAAAGAGACCCCGTTACTGAAAACAGCACACACTGTGGACAAAGAGCTTAAAGAAATGGAGTTGAAACTGACCTGGAACCCTTCCCCAGGGACTAGCTCTCGGCACTGGCTAGAGCCATGCATGCAGCCAAGGCGGGAGAGCATCCAATGGTCCATCCAACTGTAACACACAAACCACAACCATGACCATAAGTGCAACAAGATCAAAGCTTCTTCAGAGCTGAGGACAGAGCAAGGGGGCCTGGGCAAGCTCAGTCGCCCTCTGATTTCTCTTCTTATTGACAGCCATTTTTCTGGAGTAAATATCTTTGGGTTTTTTTTTTTTGGTTGTTATAACACTGGTTAATACCCAAAGTTTTTAAAAAGTTGAAAGCTTTTTAAAACTTCTTTTTTAAGTAATGTTTTAGTTACTTTAGTATTGCTCTGATAAAACACCATGACCAAGGCTACTTATCAACTACAGGCAGAGAGAGTGTGCTGGGAACGACCTAAGCCTCAAAGCTCACCCCAGTGATACTTCCTCCAAGAAGGTCACACCTCCTAGTCCTTCCCAAACAGTTCCACCAACTGGTTCAAACATATGGGCTGATGGGGACCATTCTCATTCAAAAACCATAGTAAACTTCCAGTCATTTTTATCCTTCCTTTTTGATGTGCACTTTATCCTTTTCTGATGTTGTTCCATATTTATCTATCATGTTATGCAGATCATTTAATATTATTTTGAGAATTCCATATATGATACTATATCTACATCATCTCTATCCCTTCTTCGTCTCTTCCAACTCTTCCTACGCCCCCAGTCCTTTTCAAATTTATGATATCTTCTTTATTACTGTTACATATATTTACATATACATAGGAACACAACCGGCTTGGTCCATTTACTGTTCCTTGTATGTACATGTGTTTAAGACTGACCGTTTGGGACTAGATAAGCCCTCAGGAGTCTCATCCTTGGAGAAGACTGATTTCCCTTCTCTCAGAAGCCATTACTTGCCTGTAATTCTTTACCTAATTGTAGAGTCTTGTAAGAATTCCCCCATCTACATCAGCATGTCAAACTGGAGTTGTTATTGTGCAGGTCTTGTTTAGGTAATCATATTGTTGAGATTTCATGGGTATAGTTTACTTGTCATATATAGGAGACACTATAGCAGATGCCCTGGGTCTCTGACTCTTACAATCTTTCTGCACCTTCTTTGGCAATGAGTTTTAGATGTAGGGGTTCTGTTGTAGCTGTACCAGTTAAGGCTGGGCACCTTCTTGTTAGGTGTTCTCTGAACTTAGACCAGCTGTGGATTTCTGAATGGTCTCTACTTACTACAAAAGAAGCTTCTTCGATGAGAGGTAAGAATTATATTTACCTGTTGGTATAAGGGTAAATAATTAAATGAATCTATAAATTATACTGGGGGTTAAAGAGATGACTCAGTGGTTAAGAACACTGATTATTCTCCCAGAGGACACTGGTTCATTTTCCACCAACACAAGGCAGCTAACAACTATCTGTAACTCCAGTTCTATAAGATCTGATCTCCTCCTGCCTCTGTGGACACCAGGCATGCATATATGCATAGACATACATGCAAGTAAAACATCCATCCACTTAAAGCAAATAATACATACATACATACATACATACATACATACATACATACATACATAAAACTATACTGGTTTAGGAAAGTGACAATAGTAGGTTCTCCTTTAGGGTCAATGACCTCACAATGAAGTTGACTGGGTTTACAGTATCAGGTATGAATTCCTTCTACTGAATGGCCTTTATGTCCAAGTGCGTGGCTTATACTTTGGTTACCCCTAACATATAAGTGCCATTATTGCATTTTGAGGCTATCGTGTCAATGCTGGTCATTGTTGTGGTGTTTTTGTTTTGTTTTTTTCAAGACAGGGTTTCTCTGTCTAGCCTTGGCTGACCTAGAATTTCCTCTGTAGACCCGGTTGGCCTCAAACTCATAGAGATCCACCTACCTCTGCCTCTTGAGTGCTGAGATTAAAGGTGTGTGCCACCAAACCCAGCTCATTGCTGTGTTTTGTGGGTGTTACAGCTAGGTAGGACTATTGAATGCTTTTCCCCCTTGGCAGTTTGAGGTCCAGGAGTTGCCCCACAAACCACATGAATAACAATCTCAGTCACACTGGGATAGTTTATTGAGCATTTGCCCCAGGACTGATCGATCAGGAGCACAGACCAAACTCGGGAGCTTTGACCCCGAGCCAGAATCCTACAGAGGTTCTAAGCCTGAAATCCACAAACATCCATGCCAAGTTATTCCACCAATCAAAATTTAGAAATAGGGGGCTTCCTTAGGAACACATCTTTGTTGTATATTTATCCTGTCCTCATTGGTTGGTTGAGTTATTCAGCTGTGGTGAGGAGCTTGCCTTGCCTAACAGTCACGTCTTAACTTGGCAACCAGGCTCAGTTACCTATGCACATGTCTCTTTCTGCCAAGTAGAATGTCAATTCCCAGGGAGATCTTGGGAACTTAAAACTTTACTCCACTTCTACTCAAAATGGAAGTCCTATTCCAAATGGCTTCTTATATTGGTGTAGGTGTCTTTCTTATGTTGGGATCCATCTCAGGGGCAGCTTATAAAGGCAAAGACCATAAAAGCTCATACATAGGTACAGGAAGTGCTACCAGGCAGTTGGTTCAGGTCCAAGCTTACTGTGGCTAACTGTACAAAGCAGTTCTAACTGACCTCTATTGTGATTGGTTTCCAATCACCAAATCACAGACCATACAGAATATGCAACAGACTCCAGCATGAGAAAGTTTCTTTGTAACAGCAATTACAGCATATAAGAAAGTTTCCTTGTAACACTATCAATAGCTTCAAATGGCTGGCTAGACAGGCAACTGTTTCCCAGGTCTTAACAGTTGGCATGGCAACTTTAAATACTCTGAGAGTTAGTCCTCAGGGAAGGGGCTTCTGGGTCGGTTCCAGCTGGAGATTTGTCCAAGTACTGTTTCCAAAGAGTGTGGTGTTGTCTTAGGATTTTACTGCTGTGAACGGACACCATGACCAAGGCAACTTTTATAAGGACAGCATTTAATTGGGGCTGCCTTACAGGTTCAGAGGTTCAGTCCATTATCATCAAGGAAGGAAGCATGCCAGCATCCAGGCAGCCATGGTGCAGGCAGAGCTGAGAGTTCTACATCTTCATCTGAAGGCAGCTAGTGGAAGATTGACTTCCAGGCAGCTAGGATGAGGGTCTTAAAGCTCACACCCACAGTGACACATCTATTCCAACAAGGCCACACCTCCTAATAGTGCCACTCCCTGGGCCAAGCATATACAGACCATCACAGGTGTCTTCAGCAATAAGGTCTCATCTTTAAGTTCTGTAAGACAGCAAAGGACAATAGCAATGGCCTATATTGTTTGGGAGTCTTCTAGATTTCCACTGATCAGCAACTTGAAGGGAAAATTCCTATGCTTGACAGTAAGGGTTTTGTTAGTCTATGGTTCTTGGGGAGAGAACTAACAGAGAAGTGCCATTTCTTCATTCAGACTCTATCATCTTCCTATCTGTCTGTCTTCTATTATCTATCATCTAATATATGTAGACACAAATGTGTTTTTAAGTTAATATAAAACACTTTCCTAAGGCTTTCTACACACCCTTAATGCTATTTATTCCTCTGCCCCGCTCATCCCTCATACTGGCCTCTCACCAGTTTCCCCCTTCTCCCTGCTCCCTTCCCCCATTTCTCCCCTTACAGCACCTGTGTCCAGCCACCCTACTCTGTAGAGCTCTTTCCTCCATTGTTTTGTGGTACTGGGGATTGTAACTAGGAACTCATGCCTATTCTTAAACAGATTTTTAAAAGCTCAGTGTTTAAATCCATAGCATGGACCAGGTGTGGTGACACACACCTTTGACCCCAGCTCTTTGGAGGCAGAGGCTGGAGGTGTCTGTGAGTTCAAGGCCACCCTGATCTACAGAGTGAGTTCTATTGCAGCCAGAGGTATATAGGGAAAACCTGTCTACAAAAGTGAATAAACATTTTTTTTAATGTAGCATGCTTAAATTCTTTAAGGTCTTTTCTTTTTCTTTCATCTTCAAACTGGCAGAAGGACATTTAATAAGTAAAAATGCATTTATTAGTTGGTTAAAGACAAGGAAACAATTCTTCAGAGATGGTGTTTGACACCACCTGCTGAATAATTTGCATATATTTGCCTGTGTATAAACTGATTTTGAGGAACTACTGTCAAGATTATTTTCACCTGAATTCATGTTCAGGACAACCAGTGGTAGGAGAACTTTAACAGTGAATCCATGATCACTTGCCCTGGGTAACTTCCTTTCAATATAAGCACATCAGCCTTCGGATGATTCAGGTGAAATTGGTCTCAGTCAAGTCTCTGTGGCTTCCTCACGACCCAGTCTCAGATGCATCTTCCACATCGTTAGCTGTTTTATGCAGACTGCACACCAGGCCCTTTTTGTATTACCTTCACATCTGACTCCCCTCTCCCCAGGACTCTGAGAACAACCTATCATAGACAATGCCTGCTCCTATACTGGCCTCTTCACTTTGCTAGGAGGGTGACCCTCAGCAAGCTGGTTAATCTCTATGGCTCTCTCATCTTTATTCCAGGGGGAAGTTATAGTAATGTACTTCCCTGAAACTTCGGTGGTACAGCAGTGAACAAAGCCTGGAACCCTGCAAATACTCTCAACCCTCCTAAAACAGCCCAGGCTTGCCCTCTGAAGTTTCCACATCCCCCCCCCCCCCCAGCTCTAGGCTATGAAGCAGTCACATTACACCTGCTTACAGAGGATGCACTTTATGCCTGGTACCCTAAGGCCACACAGGCTCTTCATTTTTCTGGTACCATGGGTTTTCTTGGCTGTAGTTTTGTTTTGAGATGGTGGTCTCAACTATGACATTCTGGCTAATCTACAACTCTCTATTTAGAACAAGTTGTCCTTAAACTCACTGAGATCACCAGCCTCTGGCTTGGGAATGCTGAGATTAAAGACATGCTCCACCACATCCAGGTTTTATATATATATTAAGGTGCTGTCATGTTTTATGTATTTTTAGTGTGCTTCCCTTTTAAAGAAAACATTAGGAAAACACAGAAAAGCAGGGGCAGAGCTTCAAGTCTCTCAAAGTCCACTGCCCTAAACAACCTAGAATTAGTTGTCTTCTACAGAACTAGAATAGTGGCGGGCCCACGACGATGTCACTTCCTAGACTAACTGGCAAACTAGACAATATACTCAGAAGCCAAGTCCTCCATTTCTGGAGCCAGTCTCTGAAGTTCCCAGGCTGTTCTACCCTTTGGGCTGGCTGGCTGCAGACAGAGTGTTTTTCTCATACAGATGGAAATAAACTGTGGGATCCTCCAGAGCCATACAGAGCAGGCAGGGCTGCTAATCCTACCTCATCCACCCAGAACTGTTGGCTTTTTTGTTTGTTTTTAAGACAGAGTTTCTCTGTGTAGCCCTGGCTGTCCTGGAACTAAGTAGACCAGGCTGGATTCAAACTCAGACATCCTCCTTCCTCTGCATCCCGAATGCTGGGATTAAAGGTATGTGCCACTACACCTAGCTCAGATAACTTTTTAAAGTCTGATTTTTAAAAAGATCTATATACTATATGAGTATCTTGCTTGTACAAAGGTGCACTGCATGCACATGATGTATAGTGCTCTAAGGCCAGAGGAAAGCATTTGATCCCTTGGGATTAGAGTTAAGGACAGTTGTGAGCTGCCACATGGGTGCTTGGAAAAACCCAGATCCTCTGCAAGAGCAAGTGCTCTTACCTATCGAGCCATCTTTGTAGCCCACGGATAACTTCTGTTTTTCTGAAGGGCTGGGCCCCAGCTGTGATCACATGGTAGTTGAACCTCAATGGCAGACAGGCTGGGGGCCATTCAACAACTTGCTGCTCAGTCCTGTTCTGCTTCCCCTAGGTGCACAAAGTCTCACATGTGCCCCTGTTCGTGCTTCATACATGTTTTCCTGTTGTCACAAATTCTTCACTTTAACTCAAAAGTGGCAACCATTCCACAAGAGGTGGACACGCCACAGTTCACTATTGTCTGACATTTGCTGTCTCTAGTTTTAGTGTGTGTACAGACACCTCACTCTGTATTTTGAGAGATCTCTGAAAACATCAAGAGAGCTGGCATTACCAATGATCCTAAACATTGCTGGACTTTTCACAAAGACTGAGTTAATGGTGTCACCATGAATGATACTCTCATTTCGTCACTGAGAGCTGATAGACACACACACACACATACACGCATTAATACATATAAATATACACACTCAGGAGTGCACATTTATGTTAACCTGGTTTAAATACTTTCCTGTTTTGTTCTGTTGTATCATAACTGAGGCTGTACTTTTTCTGACTTTGAGCTCTCTCTTTTAAAGAATTCCATGTCCTGCTGTCTCCTGAGTCCAGATTTCCTATAGATTTTCATGAGGCAGCACTAACAGATAATCCCAGAAACAATCTCCAAATGTCAGAAAACAATTTATTTTAAAAAAACAAATATTAAGGCACAAAAATACAAAATTTCAAACAAAAGTCCTTTAAATTGCTGTGTTTTATATTCAAAGAAATTTCTCCCAAATTATAATTTAACTTTTAAAAATAGAGAATCTATTTTTAACCTCTAAACTTTCTCCCCAAAGAAATGAATGTTTTCCTAATTCTAAAGAAGCTTCTGAATACAGTATTGAGCTCCTGTCCTATAGTATACACTTCCTTAAAAATCTAGTTTTGTCACTTATATACATTTATATGTTCAGAATTTTATATATTAAACTTCTTTCTGATAGATGTAAGGCTTGGTGTTTTATATTGCTTACTGCATGCTGTCAATCATACAAAGACACAAATATCAGAACGAGAGACAAAACATAGCATGATCTCTCTCAGCTTCAGTCATGTACAGCCAGGCCAACAGGCCCAAACCTTCAAGAGGGTATAAAAATCAACTCTGTATGTATACTTTAAGCTTAATCTTGACATTACAGGAGTAGCATAAACATGATGTACCGTGATACAGGTGGCACTCTCCACAGGATAGGAAAAAAACAAAAACAAAACCCAAAAAACAAACAAAAACCCCAAGAAACGCATGGAAGTATCCTAACCATCTCCCAAGCTTACAATTTCCACCTCCTTTTCTTACTGAAATGTAATAACTGCCCCCAAAGGCAGATTTTTAAATATTAACCTAATTCAAATCATGAAAAAATGTCTCAAGCAAACTTCATATACCTCCAAATCTAACATGAACCGTGGAACAAGAAGTCTTGAACACAACTGGAGCCTTATCCTTAGCATTCTCAATTAAAAGACAGGCCCATCCAACAGCATTCTGAACAGAAACTGTGGAGCACCTGGAAAGTCCCAATGTTGTCAGCAGACAGGGGAGGGGGCTGAGGAGCTGCATGGTGGTCCTGGGTAGACCTCCTGTCCTTGTGATCTACAGTGACAGCATAGGGACACATGCTGGGGCTAAGATGGGCCTCAGGAAATACTCACCTTAGGGCACTGAACATCAGCACCTGGCACAGTTATCATTAAATGCAACAAACACCACACACATGCTTGCAAAAAAACCTCCTCTAAGAAGGTTAAGATGGAAGTCCACTTTCTCTGGATGGAAGGAAAGAGTTCACTTCAGCCTGGAGCTGTGCCAGAGGCAGCATTATTTGTCTTTCCTAGTTTTTAGAAATACCATGGAGATGGTGTCAGAAGCATTTCCCCAGTCATCAACTGCAGACTCACACCCTGCTCAGTATGTAGCTCCTGCTGGCTACAAGCAGAAATATTCAAGTGCAGGCATGTGGGTTGAGGGTTGGCTGCTTCATGCTGTGCGGACAGGGTATTAAGGACAAACGTGAAGTGGGCCATGGCGGTGCATGCCTATAACCTTAGCAAGAGGTTCACAAGTCCAACCTCAGCCTGAGCTACACAGTGACACCCTGCAATGCTCCTCCCCCTGCAAGACACCCCCAGTTTTCAAAGAACTGGGCTAGAAGGTGGACTATGACAAACCTAAAATGGACACGCAACTATAGAAATATATCTCTACCAACCCTTTTGAAATGAGTACGCAGGAAATAAACTCAGAAAGTAGGCATTTGAAAGAAAAAGGTTTGTTTTGTGGTGCTACAGTGAAAATCATCACAGGCTATGGGTAGTGCTCCTCCTCGTCTGTTCATGTTGTCTCAATTATCCCGAGTTATTCTAACTCACAAGGCCAGAAGTCCTCCAGAGAGAAGGCATACAAGACCCTGCCTGTCATTCCCACATTCATGTCCAACTGCCTGGTATCTTTGGTCACGAAAGTGGCAAAACGTTCACATTTTCATCACTCTACATTCAAGTGCCTTTCAAGTCTAGAACATTCTATATTCAAAAAATATTAGAATAGAAACTTTCAATCATATATTATAAACATAATTTAACAAGGTGTAAAATACAGTTGATAGCTGGTTAATTACATGTTGATGCATGGTATGGTTAGATATGTGTGTAACCAACTGGCACTTCACAAGTCTCCACAAGGCTCACAAGAAACAGTGCACCCCGGGCTGGGATAAAGTGCTATAGGGGAAGTCACGTGGCCAGGTTCACAGCAGAAGTAGCAGCAGCACGTGTACCTGTGGCCTGCAAGTCTTTGGACATACCCTCAGGACGTCTCTTTGTGCACACATGTTCCCGAGCTCAGACTCCATGATGTGCTGTGCGTGGTAGTATTTACAAACAAGAGCTTTGTGTACACCAACGGAAGGGCAGGGTTAAATACATGAACATGCTTGAGTTCCAATATTGTCACTTCAGGATAAAAAATCGAATAAAATTATCACTACAAAAGATGAACACCGCTGTGTTAGCATTCAAGAGAATCCTGTTATCTCAAAGTCGAGGGGAAGGAATGTTCACAGAGATTTTTTTTCTTTTCTTTTTTCTTTTTGGTGTTTGTTTTTTGAGGCAGGGTCTCACTATGTAGCTCTCACTGGTTGTTCAGGAACTATGTAGACCAGGCTTGGCCTTGAATTTACAGACATTCGATTGCCAGTAGTGTGCTATCACGCCCAGCTGCAGATTCTTTTTTCTGGAGAAAACTGAGAGACACAACCTGGCATGCCTGTGGCTGCCGCCTAAGAGGCATCTGAACACATGTCGTTAACACTTCTTCAATTATTTCCAAAATCAGGCAACGTAATGGCAATGGATCTGACTTTACGAGTCAGTTTTAAAGATGGCTTTCTGAGGGTGGTAGACCCTCCCACACCTCCACTCTTCATCTGATACATAGATCTCCAAGAGAACAAAGTGAAACCGTATCATAGCAAAGCTGTCAGTTTTAACAACAGCCAGGCTTTTCCCATCACCTGACCCTGCTCCCACGCACAGTGGACCCACTGGGGCCCTGATCACATTATCTTTTCTGAAGAGAACATTTTTTCAGCTATTTCAGATCTGGTCATAATTTCCTGGAAAAAAAATAAGACAAGGGTCAGATGCTGGTGCTAGATCTAGACCCTACAAAAATGTGCTAATCTAACAAGTCACTGTTTAATCTTTTTAACAGACCTAACTTTAAAGAAGTATCAGATACAATCCGTGCTGCTGCCCCCCCCCCACCGTGCCCCACTCTCTAATACAGTAGGTCAATATCAGCAGAGGCTGGAGAGGTCAGCTTCCTTCTACCTAGCATGAGTTCAGGTTCTCTGTGAGAGGCAGAACTGTAGCCAACAGGGACCTCATGTGACAAACTTGTCTCATGTTACTGAATCCATGGAGCTACTTATTATATCATAGAAATGAAAGTGCACCACTAACTAGCCTTCCTGCACATGCCTGTAGGTTACAGACCCTCCACCCTGCTACAGAGGAGCACAACACTACTTCAGAACTACCCCCCTCAGCTCTTCTCACGCTCTACAGCCAACACGATGTGCACCTCCTGCCAACAGCTGCTCCTGCTCTGCACGAGCCAACGCTTTGTCATGTATCTTTGAGTCCTGCTCTGCAGGAGCCAACGCTTTGTCATGTATCTTTATCTTTGAGTCCATATACCAAGGCAGGTGTGCCCTGCCTTGGGCTACCCTGCAATGTCTAGCTGACCCAAAGTCAACTTTTCCTTCCAAAATCTTTATTTCAATTTCATGCTTAGTAAGTAAGGCTGGAAAGAAACTATTCCAATAAATTATCTACACATTTTCAAAAGCTAAACAATGGACACGCAGGCCTTAAAAAAGACTTTCAAACAAAGATCTCATGGAATGTCTCTTCCCTTCATCTACACAGCTCTCATCCTGCTGCTCTGCCTGCGTGAGACTCAGCCCACAATCCTTCACACTTCAAGCCGGCTCTAGCTCTTTCCACCTGCTATGTTGGTTATTGCTTCAAAAAGTTATTTTACGAATTAGCTTCTGAAATACACTGTGAAAATGGAAACAGCGCTAAGGAAATAAGCAACAGAATGTTTACCTCATCTGAGTCCACTAACACTGGGAGAGCTCTGAAACAAAACAGAGACAAGGACAGCGTCACTCAAACAAGGCCTGAGAGACAATGAAAACCTAATGGGACAATGGCCAAGAAGGGAACACCCAGGCTCTCTAGTGTGAGCTCTCTGGAAGCATCAGATGAGCCACTTAAATCTTTCAGACTTTACAGTCAGAGCTGTGGGGCAGCAAGGAGGGACTAGGCTTTGGGGTACTGGCAGTGTTCTACCTTTAAATTACATGAAGGGACTTATTTAAAAACCTCACTGACATCTACCTAGGGTGTGTGTTTTCTAGAATGTGTATTCCTTTAAAGATATTTACTCTGAAGTTAACAGAAATATTTTAAAAATCTGAACTTTAAATAGAAACAAGCTAGTACAAGTGCGGTTCTACTGCATATGGGGTAGCTGGCTACAAACTCACGAATATTCCACACATCCACACCCCACCCTGTTTATTTCTTAACCCTCTGCTACTGTTTTACTTTTAACCACTGGCTGGGTATCTGAGTGATAATCTGCTATTTAACTAGAAAACTTACATTTCATGCTTTTATGAGAATGAAGAGAGATTGTCAAAGGTAGTATTTCTTTTTTATGGAGAATACCTGCTTAGAGATGTGTTTGTTTATTGCATGTGTAAGTAGGTATGTGTGCCTAGACCACAGGTATGGAAGTCAGAGGGCTACGCATGGGCTGATTCTTGCCTTTCACCCCTGTGAGTCCCTGCAATTGGACTCAGGTTGGCAGGTTTGGCAGCAAGTGCCTTTACCTGCTATGGCAGACATATACACACCTAAACTTCCCAACATTTAGGGATGAAAGAACTTTGAAGCTAAGGGAAAAAAATAAAGTAAATACATAAAAAAAAAACACTATCACATAAAACAAAGCCCATATAACACATAGGAATGGAAATTAAAAATGTAGATTCCTTTGGAAGCCTTTAAAGCCCAGGCTGGTGAGACAGCTCGGTGGTCATATGCTACCAACACGGTGACAGGAAATGGCTGTACAATGGAAAGGCAGAGAAAGGGGTCGGGGCTGTGTTCAGCTTTGTAAGAAGTAGTGGTGGGGTCCTACATACATACATCCATACACACATATACACACACACATGCATACCTGTTCATATACACTTGCACATGTGCACGTACACACTCACAGACACACACACACACTGCCTGAGATAAACTGAATGAAATCCCCGTAAGCTAGAGCCTGAGGTACAAACTTGAACAGAGGATATTTACACATCTGTGAACGAAGAGGGAATATTTTCTTCCACCCACTTCAAATCTTCATCCTGTAGAAATAAATATTTATATTTAGTTTTTGCTAACTCTTAGCTGAGAACGTAGTTTCTGGCAGCATGTCTTAAGTTTATTTACTTACATCAGATGCACGGATCTGTTGTGTTGCATGTGCTCTAGAACCTGGCGTAGGCACCACATACCAAGTGCCATGTTTCATAAATAGACAAAAAATTGCTGATTTTTCTGTTTCTTGGTTTTAGCTAAGAACATAACTGTTTTTTTTCCTTTTTGTCTCAAGAAGTCAAAATAAAAATGCAGAATTGATTTGTAAGATGGAAAATAGCAAAAGTTTATTTTGATTTTCTTGCTTCTAGCCCTTATTACACATAATTTCTAAAATTTTTGAGTTTATACTTTTTACAACAGAAAACTATACTGAGCAATGTTCTAACCCTAGCAAAGCACTGAATGGAAACTCGTGCTTATGTTTGTATTCCCATAGGAGACAAGAAAGGCCATCAGGCCAGGCAGTGGTAGTGCATGCCTTTGATCACAGCACTCAGGAGGCAGAGGCAGGGGTGGATCACTGTGAGTTTGAGGCCAGAAACCCTGTCTTAAAAAACAAACAAACAAACAAACAAACAAACCCCCTCCCCCAAAAAAGCCAATCAGTTGGGGTAGCTAGATGTTTTCTTTTCTAATAAAAATTTACTTCTAGTTATTACACTTAGAAAAGAGAAAAACAGTGTAAAATAAATCCAATTTTTCTTTCCTGTGTACCTGGCTACCTGGGTTGGTCTAACTGCAGCACTCAGCACTCTGCTGACTGAGACAAGGCAATGGAGCCCATTTCTGTGAGTGGTTCCCAGTAGAAATTAGTAATGAAAAATAAGACCTCTAATTTCTGATCAAAAGCCAACCCTTAGTTTAAAAGAACGGGTAAAAATTCTCTGATGTGTTTGTGACTATTGAACTTTAAATAAACTGATATATATATCACCAAAAAGAAAATACCTAACAAGTATGACAAAAAGTATCCCTCACTGAAAACTCTTGGGCCCAGAAGTGTTTTAGATTCACATTTGATATTTCTGAGTACTTGTATATGCATGATGAAACAGCACAGGGATGGGATCCAAGTTGAAACATAAAATTCATTTATAACTCAGACATGTAGCCTGAGAGGCTGAAGGCAATTTTACACAGTATTTGTAACAAGTTTAGTAGATGAAACAAAGTTTCACAATAGTTTTCCCACTTGTGGTATCATGGTGGTGCTCAGAACGTTGGAGACTCTGAATTTTCAGATTAGGGTGCGCTACCTGAAGCTCTAAAAAAACTAGAAAAAAAACTAGAAGTTTTAAATTTCCATGAAACCACTCAAGGAATACATTTCACAGATTGCCAAAAATAAAAATAAGAGACTTTGTCAAATCCAACAGAGAGTAGTGTTGTCATATAGCATCTGTGTCCTTTTTATACAGTGTCATTCCAAGGCAGCAGTGTTCAAGAGTGTAAAAGGCTTCACCCTGCTTAACCACCACCACCACTTTTATGCACAGCCAGCACCTGTACGGTATTCTAAGGCTCATCTCTGAGCCAGCTGTGGCAGTACAGTCCTTTAATCCCAGTTCTCAGGGGCAGAGCAGGCAGATCGAAGCAAGTCTGATCTGTATAGTGAACTCTGGGTTAAACCAAATGGTGGCTCAAAACCAGGCATAACTGGTTCCAGAGACTCCAGACTCTGACCAGAGGGCACCAGGCACACACATGGTACACATACATACATGTGAACGAAACACTCATATACATAAAAATAATGTATAAGCTTATCCCTGCCCTATACTCTACATTTTACTCTGCTTTCAGGGCTTTACAAGTCTGCTGCTTTGGAAAGTGAATGGGACACACGAAGTCCTCTTAGTCTGTACTGTGCCTAAGGCGGCTTCAAAAGAAATGGCTTGAATTTGCTTAAAAGCCACCACTGACTTTTACCAAGACAAAGCCTCAGTCTGGGATGAGCCTTGGCTAGCCACAGACTCAGACATAGCAGCACTGAGGAAGCTGAGGCTGCTGGCCAAGCCCAGCCCTACAGATGAGAACAGACAACAGCAGCACAGCCACTATGGCCTGAACTTGCACCGGAGCGTGGAAACAGCTGATTTAATAACACACCTTGGCAAAAACTCCCCTGACAATCAGTGACTCTGGCATGGATTCTAAAGTGTTAGACAAAGACTCCACTAAATACAGATACTCACAAAGTTATCAGAAGTAGGTTTAGCTGTTCCATTTGAAACTGTTTTTGAGGCTCTTAGTTTTATTCCTTCAGCTACAAAGTGAAACATCAGAGACATAAAAGATTAGAAAATTGTAACTTCACACTCAATACCCCAATAAGAAAAAAAAATATTTTTTAAACACAAATTAGGAGTAGACACTTTTGTCAGGAGAGGAGCTTAATATGCCATTTCAGGAATTAGAAAGAAGCAAAGGAAAAGCTAATAGGCTTCTGAATTGATAGTCAACAATTGAACAATTCACGAGGATTTCGACCAACATAATACACAACGTGTCAGTGCACAGTGGGGTGACTATGTCACTTCAAAATGTTAATTTCTTTTTTTTTTTTTTTGGTTTTTCGAGACAGGGTTTCTCTGTGTAGCTCTGGCTGTCCTGGAACTCACTCTGTAGACCAGACTAGCCTCGAACTCTCGAACTCAGAAATCCGCCTGCCTCTGCCTCCCAAGTGCTGGGATTAAAGGCGTGCGCCACCACCGCCCGGCAAAATGATAATTTCTTTCTACTGGGGATGAAGCTACTTTGAACAGACACTGAATTACTAACTATAGTCACCCTACTGTATAACCCACTAGGCCTTGTCCTCTTGTCTAACTAGAATTCTGTCCCTTTTAAGCAACTGTTGTCTACTACTGTCCCTGCTTTTCTCCTTGCCTCGAGCTCTTTTATCTCTGCACCGAGATCAACAGTTTTGGCTTCTCTATCTGTACTAACATGTGGTGTCCGCCTTTCTGTCCCTGACCTGAGTAGTGTCCTCCAGGCTCAGGTTCTGGTGACTGTGTATCACAAGCAGGCTCAGCTTGCTGCTCTGAGATGCACCTGCTGAGGAGCTCGAGCTGGTAGAGCATTTGCCTGTAATGGGTAAAGCCCTAGGTTTTATGATTAGCACACACACACACACACACACACACACACACACACACACACACACCATGTATACTCATCTTGGAAATTTTTACTTGTTTGACATATAAGCAGGAGTGTATAGTTATTATATAGGATATGAAATTATTTTCTTCATATTTGATGAGAGCTTTTTATTTTTTAGGTATATAAAATTATGCATATGTGTCTACGTGGTATGTACATGGAGGTCAAACTCCCCTAGAAGAGACTTTGCACTGTCCACGACTTGTAATAAGTAGAGTGTGACATATCCTCTTCAACTGGCTCTCAGTCATGCTGACTGTACCCACTGTGGGGTTGGCGCAGCTCACTGCTATCTTGAATGTCCCCAGTTACTGAGAACAGTGAGCATTTTCAATGTGCACCTGTCTATTTAAATCTTCTATCCACTAATTACCATGTAGGTAACCTCTTGGTGAATGCTTTCCTTTATCATCCTCTACCTTATTTCTTTCTTTCAGGGGCATCTCTCATTTAGCCTAGAGTTCACTGTTTCAGGAAGACTGGCTGGCTAGCCCTACAGATCTGCCTGTTTATAGTGCCCCCATCTCTCTCCTCACTCTAGCAGTGGTGTTACACCTGCCTCTTATGTAGGTGCTGGGATGCAAACTCAAGTTATGTGCACAGCAAACACTCCTGAGCCACCTCGCCAGTGTATGGGGATGTGTGTGTGTGTGTGTGTGTGGTAGAGACCAGAGGACAACCTCTGGTGTCATTCTTTGGGTGCTATCTATCTACAGGAGCCTGGAATCAGCCAATAAGGCCAGCCTAGCTGGCAAGTGAGCTCCAGTGATCTGTCTTTCCCAGCACTGGGGCTACATATACATGCTACCATGCTCGGCTTTTTTTTTTTTTTTTTTTTAAGTACCAATGTTAAAATTGTCCTGGGAACTGATGTCCTTATGCTTGCAAGGCAAACCCTTTACAGGCTAAGACATCTCTCTAGTCCTTATAGGAAAATTTTTGAAATATGCGTGACCTTGCATCTCAAGTAAAGATTTCTTTCTGTTAAAATATGTACAATAGTCATTAAAAAAACAAACACAAAAGCAAAAAAAAAAAAATCACACATCACGCACTTAAATTTTCGGATGTTACCATGAATTCCTCAACTTCATCATCAGAGTCATCTATCAAGGGCATGAAGGCATACCTAAATAAAAACAAAGGAGCCTTTGAACCTGATCACTGTCAGTCACTGCATACAAAAAACAGCAATGTCCAAGTTTCTAATGCACTAGGATAACTAACCCCCTGCCCACCATACTTTAGCATTTTCCCTAATGAAAAAAGGATGCTAATTTGATTAGTGACATTAAAGGTGATAAGATCAAATACCTTCTCAGAAATACTGTTGATTAAAGGTGTGCCCCAACATGCCCAGTCACTTAAAACATTTTTATTATATTTATTTGTGTGTGTGCATGTACACGTATGTGCTCACACAACTGGAGGTCAGAGGACAACTTTCAGCAGTTGGTTCTCTACTTCCAACATATAGGTCCTGGCAATGAATTCAGGTCTGCAGGCTTGAGTGCAAGAGCCTTCCCCAGCTGAACTACCTGACTGGCCCAATAGGATTACTCATTGAAGGCAGAAGGAAACACACTTCTGAGTATGCCCACTTCATTTCCCGTAAGAAACTCAATAGTTCTCTCCTTGGAGAAGAAGGTGCAAGAGAAGGTAGGCTGGCCACAAGTCCACAGTAGAGCTTTCTAAACCTGGCATTCAGCCCTGTGACATCAGGTCCTGCTCTCCCTGCCCAGCTTTTCAGAAATTTTAAAATAGGCTGAATATCTGGATCCCAAACTGTATACCTGTCTGAGCATCAGGTCAGTGCTCTAGAAGTTTCTGACTCTGAGCATTCTGGATTTCAGATTAGGATGCTTAGCCAGTAAAGTCTACGCAAATATTCTAAACTCTGAAGAAAAACTACCAAACCAAAAGCACTTCTAAGTATGTGGGTAAAAACACTGCACCTGCTGTACTAACTGAATAGTCACCGTCCTGACTTCTATGTACCATGACTTTCCACACTTCTCCCAAGTGTACATTCTTTCCCAGCCTGGTTTTTCAGGTGCTAACTATCTCACAGCTGTACTGTAAATTCCAGCTCTTTACGGAGTCATCATCTACATCCCAGACTGCCTGATGCTTCCATCTCACAGTCTTCTATCCATTCATTATGCCTGTTGTCTCACTTGACCTCACAGCTGCTTAAAAACAAGTTTTTCCCGACAGTCTCCCTGTTTTCTGTCAGGGTCCCTACAGCCATCATGGCCAGCAGATCCCTGCTGTGAGGTGTGAGGTAAAGAATGAAACACTACTTACTTTAGCAGGCACTGGGTCAAAACTTCCAGAGTCTGACCTTAAGGTTTATTTTTCTTACATATTTAAGCACAGTAAAACTTTGGGAGAAAAAAAGTCTCCATATGACAACTATCATAACAAAGCTTCAGGGATGGCTACATCAAAACTCCCTTGCAAAGTAGTAAAGCATCTATAACCTTTACGATAAACAGTGCTCAGGGTAATAAGCACTATTGACGGAAGATGCAAAGAACATGGACCTCTTTCATAAGGGCCTAAATAATGCGCAGGATTTGGGGGGATTCAAGTGAAGGCTGGCTCCATAGAATAGCAAAAGGATTGCCAGGTTGTTAGATAGCATCTACTCCAGCTTTCTAGATAAATGGGTGTCAGTCATTTTCTTCCTTTGAAGAAAAAAAAGTCTTATGCTTAACAATTCTGGATTTTATTTAATGCTTTCTGTGAGATGTGCCTCCTACAGTTCCCAACACCACAGAAGATAGCCAACCAATGCTTCCAAGGCATATTTCCCCATGTTGGTTACCTCTGATTATTTGCTGATGGCCTCCATAAGAACATTATCACAATAAGGATGAGTGAAAAGAGGAAACTCCAAAATGCATCATCAACCCACAGCTCCATCCAGTCCTAGAGTAAGGTTGACACAAACACAAACATCAACCTGATAGATGTGCAAATGTACCACTCAGACCTTACACAGGTAGTACTGACACCGCTCCAGCGGCAAACCCTCTTTGTGAATAAACACGAAATAATTTTCTTGTAAGGAAACCTATGTTGTAAGCATTGTTTCTAAAAATCATACATATTTCCCTTCACAAAATTTTAGGACCAACAGAAAGATTTAGGAAAAAAAAATCAAAATGAAGACTTAGAACTTTAAGCAGAAAATATTAAAGAGGAGAGAAAAAAACCAGAAGGTTCAGCTTCTCTCCTTCAATTGCCTCTTACACTGCAGCAACTTGAGGCTTCCAGGTACTGTGTGAGCATGTCTCACATAGTCATGATCTCAATAACCAGGTTCTGAGTGAAAACTGTGTGTTCTTCCAGCTAGACATCTGGACATCTCCCCAAAGCCAATGCTGAGTGCAACATCAAAGCAACACACCAGATTTAGGGGTTTAGTCCCATCTATGTACAAAGCCAGGCTGGGGCCATAGCTCAGGGAGGCAAAGCATATGCTTAGCATGCACAAAGAGCTGGGTACCATCTCTAGCACCAAAAGGTAAAGAGAAAGGAAAAGAGACACAAAATTGTTTTTCAAAATATATAAAAAGAAGTTCGGAAAAAGGGATAAAAATTTCAGAGGAACTTGTTCAAACAGTTATTTACATTTGGTGTTATGAGATAGGGTCAAACATAGCCCAGGTTTGCCTTGAACTCTGGATCCTCCTGCCTCCTCCTCATCCTGAGGTTCTTACTACTGCCAGTTTATGTGACACTGGGGTTAAACCTAGAGTTTGTGCATGTGAGGCAAGCATTCTACCAACTGAGATCTACTGATTCTACCAACTGAGCTTCGGAGTTATTTAAAACAGAAAAAAGTTTTGATAATTTTACAGACAACAGATTTTAAAAATGCCCAATAAAATTATTTTATAAACTAAACTCATTGAAATTCCACAAAACAGTATAATTAGAAACAATAACTGTTTAAATAATTAATTTAATCAAATGCTTTAATTCTTTAATAATTTAATTAATCACTTTAATTATCTAATCAATACTTTAATTACATCTTAAAACATTTAAGATTTTACTTACTGACTGGCATTTTGCGATCCTGAAGGTCTTTGTTGTCCACACCATAAACACTATAGAAGCTGAAAGACAGAGAAAGTCACCTTTGAAAGAACATTCAATACTGAAATGGGTTATTTTTGAAAGAGGCATAGATGGCTTACCCAGCACAGCAAAGATGAGCGTATTTGTAAAATGCCTATACAATGAAAATTTCACTGTGTTCTTTCTTAGCCTTAGAGTCTTCATAGTCTGTGCCAAACTTATAAAAATGTGAAAAAACAGTTAAGGAAAAAACATAGAAAATGGCAAAGTATAGGTAAAAGAAAACAATAGGATGTTGGGATTAAGGTGTGCATTACCAGGCCTAGCAAGACTAGCTTCTAAAGTAACACAATCCAACTAATTAGGACCTACTGTGAGATCCTAGAAAAAATGCAAATACATTGTACCCCTTAAACATATCAAATGAAACAAACAAATCTGTTTTCGTTAAATCATCCAAAAGTGTTCTTTAAAAGCTAAGGGATTAAAAACTCAAAAGCAAATCTGAAACTGCCTAAACCTTTACTTACCAGGACACTGTTTAGGTTAAGTGTAACTCCCCTACCGCCACCCCCTGGAGAAGGGAAAGCAGTGACAAAAGCGCACAGGTTCCACAAGGTGGAGAGAGCCAGCCCAGCATGCTGCTGCAGTAGGAAAAGGATATCCACCAGCACAAGCCCGAGTCAAGGAGAGAGAGAGGCAGGCTGGCCAGAAGAACAAGATCAGAGTCATTCGCCTGCAGCAAAACAGCAAAAACAATAACCAAGCAGGAAAGGGGGCCAGGTAGGGGAGGCATGGAGAGACATAAGAAAGGCTACCAACTCTGAACCTGTACGTTAGATCCTTATAGGATTAACTGCTTTTGTGTTAGATTCACTGAAATCAAAGTCAACAATGTCATTATCCAAAATCATCAATTTTATATCTAACCTTACTTGTATCTATCTGCTTGTCATCTGTAGCCATTCAGGAAACCCATTTCTCACTTTATAGCACTAAAAATGACCAAACAGCAGCTGACAGCGAACTTTACAAAGTCACGTTCTATACTTGAGCACTATAGTAACTTACTTCTGGCCATCACTCAATACCATCCAGAATCATTTTAATTTCTGGATTTCTTTATGACCACTGAGTAAATTAAACCTTTCATATTGCTTTTCTCGTCTTCCCACACCAATGTACCAGGAAGTAACAAAGTCCATGCTGTCCAAAGGAAACATTTCTACTACAGTTACTACCTGAGTGTTTCCCAATAAGTCACTCTGTGGATAGTTAAGAAGAAATCTTTGAAATATATATCTTTAAGTTCCCAAGAGAAAACAGCACATTTTGTTTGTTTGTTTTGAGGCAGAGTCTCTTTATGTAGTCTTGGCTGTCTTTGAATTTTCTTTATTGTTCATGTTGGCCTCCAACGCAGAGATCTACCTGCCTCTACCTCCCAAGTACAGGACTAAAGGTGTGCACCCCCACACCTGGCTATAAAATTCTCCAGGATGAAGTCTAAAACTCAATTGCTTAATGCAAGGATCTATTATTCCCTGACTTCTCAAAAGCTCCAAGCACAAACCACTTTGGACAAGAGGCCACCTGGGCTCCTTTTTAAATGCACAATGACAGAGGACAGGCCATTAGGGCAGAGAGGTACTGCTAACGAGGGTACATGCCTCCATCTCTACTGAAGCCCTGCTGTTCCAGCTCCAGAGGTGTCTATTTCCTGTCTATTCCCCACAGGAAGGCAAATATCTCTGAGAAGCCACTGCAGAGGCTACACAGGACCCATCCATATCATTACATCTTTCTCTATGGCCTCATCTGCCAGGATTCCCCACATTTACACCCCAAAATAAACCTAAGCTGGGACATGTGAAGTCTCTACTGTTTCTGCTAGAGTTTTCCTTCCGCCTCTAGTCTCAACCAGCACTCTAAAATGATGGTTTCTTCTGCTGTGCGCCCTTAGTGAAGTTACACAGCTGTCTCTTTATCAGAACTCTGTAAACATAGAGACAATATTCTTTTTGTGCCTCACTGTGTGAGGTGTACACTGAAGAGATCATACTTAATGAATTAACAAGAAAATAAAGACACTCCTATCTGGGGAGTTATTACTTTCTTGCCTTAAACTAAATTCCTATATTGAGAAAATAATAATGTACAATTATATTTCATTCCACCATTATTATGAATTAAAAAGTAATCTGATATTAATAATACCACCAACTATTTTGGAAGGACATGGTAAAGGATATGAACCACACAAAAATGGAGTCAATAACTGCTAAAACAATGTCAGTCAAAACAACAGCTAAATGTTTAGAGCCCTGAAAGATAAAAGTATGGAAAGCCTATGTTTACACAAGTTTCACTGCAGTGTAAAAGTATCATCTGATGAAGAAAAACAATTTTGCTTTTCATCACCTCCAACTTTGTACTGTTTTATACCTTGATAGAATGTGTTTAGCACATTGAAATCATCTGTTTTGGGAACAATAAATGTAATTTCTTACCAATTTATTTTATGTTAGAAATACAGCAGTGAATCTGAATCGTTTATCTGCTCTAAGCTCCTGGCAGGTGATCTCAAGGCTCTACACCTGCCCAAGGGCTCTTAATTTTGTTGTGCCTTGACTAGCTCAATGGCTGAGCACTTCCAAACTTCCCCGAGGCTAACACACACTCCCCTCTGGTATTCTTGGTTAAAATCCAGAGCTCTTGGGTGGGGCACTGGAAGGGATCTTAGAGTGAATTAGTAATTCACTGCTACAGAGAAATAAACGGATTGGCAAATAAATACAATGCTTGTCATGCCCCAGTCTCACCCAGACCTACCATTTCAATCTCCTTCCTCTTCACATCAAACCTAGAGCTGGGACTATCAGAAAAACTAGTTGCTGACCTCCCCTGATGGTAAAGGGACACACTCATGCAAAAAGGCAAAGTGAAGGTGGGAGACCATGGGAGGGGAGAAACAAACTAAAATTTAGGCACTTGTTTCAAAACAGCCAGCATCTAACTGCTGAGTATCTAAAATTTAAAATGTATAATACTGTGTTTATATTTGGGGTAGTATTTTTTGTAGTCTTTTTAGAAAAGTTTAATTTCCTATGAATTATATATATGAGCATACAGGAAGGATTCATAATTATGCAAAGTAATAAATATGCTCAGAGAATAAAACAGGTTGGAAATACACAATGCAGATGCATCAAGACAATGGAATAAGGCTCTTAATACTGTTGAAAAACGTCCTCCTCTAAGAGCCAAACAAAATTATGTGACAACATACAGATTAACTGCTCTGTGCACAATAATCTGACCTTCCCACTGAATTCAAGTAAGTTTTGGATAAAATGCAAGATTCTTTGGATCAGGCAAATACAGAATATCCTTAAGCACTCAGCCCTCAATGAAATTCCTAAGAAGAACCCAAGCTCCTGTCATGCAGTTGTTGGCCTGTTTTGCTTTTTTTTCTTAGGGTTTTTCAGAGATTAAAATACCAACACTTCCCTAGATGACAAAGTGCTGCTGCCCACGTGATCAGAGTCTTCCCTGAGTGTGACCTCCTTCTGGTTCTTCCAGCAGTGGGACTTGCTGAATCCCCAGACAACAAGCCCAGTCAGAGCAAAGTTAGAGCTGATGAGAGGAGAGTGCTCACCCCAGTGCATTTCTATCCTGCTCATCTGATCTGCTTCTAAGCCCAGGATTAAGGAAGACACTTGTAGATGGAGCTACCTCCAAGGGCAACATCAGTGGTGCTTTCACTGTCAGCCATTTTAGGAAACACTCTGCCGGGCTCTCCCTCCACCAAGTATGAAAAAAGCAGCCTATTCCATCTAAAAAAAAGGCTCAGATTGGACTTTTTCATATACCTTTATCTTAAAAAACAAAGAAAAATGAAGAGACAAAGTATAATAGTATTCCATAGCAACAACAATGGGTGATTAATGTGGCTTTTACCCCAACGACTCTCATGACACCTTCGATGGCTGCAAAGATCAAGTAAAGCAGTCCCAGTCCAATCACCCGGTGCATCACTGTTCCTAACCGAGGCCTGGAGTAAGCAAGAAGGGAGGCGGAGGAGAGAAAGCACTTGTAAGTAGAGAACATCTGAACACAGAATTCGAGGTGTCAATACAGAGAGGGCACTATCTAGTCATATGGCAGTGCTTGGGTTCTCTTTCACAGGACATAATCACAGGCCCAGAAATACCTGGTCTGCCCTCTAGGACCTGAAACTGTACAGGTGCCAGTGAAGAAACTGTGTGTGGCTGGCCACAAAGGTGCCAGAGGATTTGAATTTCAAGCAACAGGATGAACATAACCAAGTACTACTTCTTAGTATGGAGGAACTGGCTGGTGAACCTAAGAAGAGATCTGCCAGCTTCTAGGGGCTGACAGAGGTTATAACTTCTATTAACTACAAACCACACAAACTGCTATCTTAGAGGAGCCCACTGATCTTGTGACCAGACACAGAGCAGAATGAGCATAAGGAACACCAGTGCCCTCTCAATTTTCCTAACTCTCAGAGCAGTGGTGATAACATAATTTGGTTTTTAATCTTTAAATTTAAAAGATAAATAATAGTTTTGAGTCTTATAAATAAGTAGGGACATGTATTTTCTTTTACAATTAACAATCTGAATATAGATGGGACCTACAAATCAGAATTGACTGCACATACATTTTAAAATATTTTAAAAGCCCACTTCTCAGAGTAATTGGGGAAAAAATGGCTTTGAAAACCTATCTAAGACAGTTATGTTAAAACAAAACCTAAGGCAAGGAGCTAAGTGTTGGGTGTGGAAAAGGAGATCAGGGTAGTGGATCCCTTTAGGTTACGGGCAAGGAAGGGCTTGGAATGCACCTGCCACAGTCAATTAGAAATGAAGTTGAATAAAAAAATTTACAAAAGTGACCAGAACTCCAAGACACGCATGAGTTACATTAACCAACAATATATGAGAAATTGGAGCTTAAATAGAAATAAACCTTTTAGTCCTCACAGGGGTCAGAATCCTCCTTATACCACAGGGAGTGGCAGATCACAATTATGACAGTTAAGAAGGAAGATCTGTAATTCAAAGACATAGCTTGGTCTCCATGTTTCCATCTGAGCTTAGATGGCAGTTTTCAAATAGTCTCTACTGCCCTTGTGAATGAAACACCAGGCATGGCATAGTCATCTGGATCCCAGAGTCAAGGCAACATCATCATTCATTTTAGCTTCACTCCAGTCTCCCCTTCATGAAGAGCCTGGGAGCCTGACATCTTGGCCCTAGCTGTGCTCTCAAACACAGTGAGACTCAGGAAGAATGCATAAGGAATGCAGATCCCTGAAGCCACACTCTTAGTACCACTCTTCTACCTCTGCTCTTGCCATGGACACTTCAGAGCTCAATTTCTCCTAGTATTTTTATATTAGCTAACATAAATGTTGCTTCCCCGGTGATCTTATGTTAACTTGAAAATATCCTTAGACATGTACTTAAAACACCTGCCAAATATTTGCACAAGAGGCCAGCTGACTTCAAAATGACCTTCTCACCTCTTCAAAGCTGCCTGTGCCTTGCTGCAGTGGTATGGTTAGAGTCTCAAGTGGGAGGACTACTCTGAGAGTGCATGACCCTTCCAGGTTCCCTGGGTAGGTCAACTGTACTACAGCCTATTAGTGAATCCTGAAGATGGGAGTGACCCAGATGGTGACTACCTTCACCTACCAGAGATCATCCACAAAAGAAGGGTTATAGTCCTCCCAAGCACTGAGTTCATCTCTAGGTATAGCCCCCACCCCCAGACTGCTTTATAGATAGTAACAGTATTCCCACCTGGATGGCTAGGAGCACTGGTCCCCTGCTACTATCATCACTATTACCAGTGGAACCCCTGCGAATTGGGCCCATCTCATGTTTCTTGCATACTAGGTACACCTTATACAATGTGTGGTATTATATCAGCCCCTAGCCTCTTCTGGAAGCTTGTTGAAACAAGAGAAATAAAGACAGAGATAAATGAAGCCCTAAGAAAGGAAGATTCAGTGTGGTGTGACCAAGCCTCCCGCCTGTGCTCTTTCAGTTTCTGGAACTTTTATGGAGCTCTCAGTGGCTCTAATGTTAGAACAGGGTGTCCAGAACTTCATGGCCTTGTGGTCTGTAGGGCAAAGGAGGATGGTATGTCCACTGGAAAATAAATAAATGGTGGTCTCTAGTTATTATGGTTCTGTACTTTGGGTCTGGATTTGCTGCACCTTTATAATAAGACATAGACTGCTTTCAGAGTTAAGGTGTGGTGGCACATGCCTATAATCTCAGCACTTAGAACGCTCATGCCACCTTGGCTACTGAGATTCAATTCAGGATTTTCATTTGGAGATAATATAAAATGGCTAGTCCACGCAAGTTTTTTAAACCCATGTTCCTGCAGTTTTCCCTTGGGGATTCAGATTGCAACTGACAAGTCCCCGGTTCCAAGAGGTCATGGTGTACATGAGCTGAAGCACTAGACCGGAGAGTCAAGAGCTGTTCCTCACAGCAATACTTACTTCACAATGCCATAACCCAAGCTCACAATGATCACAAGCAGGCGAGCCAATGTCCTCTTAACTGCAGATATCAACTCAGCAAATATCAGTAAACCTTGGGCTGAGGAGGAAGAAAAGAAAACAACTGATTATGTGTAGTTTTAGAGGCCTTCTCAGACTCCAAAATTACTATGCAACGACACTGACATCAACTGATACTTCAGGCCTCAGTGGAAGGCAACAACACCTCCTGAAGACTCACCACAGGTCTGATCAGCTAGCTCTACGGGGCAGTTTTCTTATATCAACCTGAAACCTACTACAGCTCCCTTCCGGCTACATCCTTCTTCATGTCCAGCAAATATCTGAAAACCATGCTCTCTGGACTTCTCTTTTTTCCAGTGCCTTCACCAGTTATTCATTTAAGATGTACACTTACAGTAGTAAAGTACTGGCCTAGAATGTGCAAGGCCCTGGGTTCAAACTCTAATCCATAAAAAGAAACGGGAGTATTCACTGTGTTCCTGCTATATGACTGTGACAGAGGCACCTTGATCTCTATCTGCATAGACTTTGAACTCTGGCTAGGGCACGTAAGCAGACACAACTCAGCATGGGAAGGGCTGCATGTGACACAGTAACCCTCGGACGAGGAGAAAGAGCAACCTAATATACATCTGGGTGTGTGTGTGGAGGGGGGTGCGTGTGATTGGTCCGGAAATGAGGATTTAAAGACTGAGTGGATATATGTGGGGGAAGAAAAGGGCAACTACAACAGGCCTTGGGAATCACAAACAGAGGGAAAAGCATAGTGTATATGCAGTAGAGTGCCATGTCAGATGCCAAGAGAAGAGGACACGACAGAGACCAGGAGCACTCGTGGCTCTGGGGTCTCTGTCATGGAGTCTAGACTTGGTGCTGAAGGCAGTAGGAAGTCAACATCAGTAAACAGAGGAGAGGAATTGGTAAACTACAACCCAGGGCCCAAATATATCCTTGCATGTTTCTGTAAGTCAAGTTTTATCATAACACAGACATGTTTATTTGTTTATTGTTATCTGTGGCTGCTTTTTACTCAGGGCAGAGCTGAGTCATCAGAGATCATGTGGTGTGCAAAGTCAAAAATGTTTAGTACATGGACTTTGCAGGCTCTTCAAACATACTGACAGTGACCCAGAGGTTCTTTGCTAACCCCTTTGGTGACACCTCAGATGAAGGACTTGGATTCTCTGATGGCCCCAAATGGCATTTCATTTCTTCATCGATCTCTGGTTTTTGCTGTTCTTCAATCCATACCACCCTTGCTCTCTCTAGGTAAGAACCTTACGAGAACAGAAAGGGGATGAGCTGCCTTCTCTGACACTCAGTTATGTTTCAATCCTATCGCTTTATCGTCTGATACTACCTCCACCTGACCCTGACAGTACTTGGGAAGGAGTCCAGGGCCTACGTAAGCTAGGCTAGTTATCCACCACTGAGATACACCCCAGGAGTTCACTATCTGACTGAGAGCGCAGATGCAGACATCTCTGTGCATGTATACGCAAGCTCATATACAGCAGGAGCAGCTCTACGGTGCAGTCCTCCATGTTGGCCCTTTCTTTAGTCTTTTGTAGATATGTTTTTAGCCTATTTTCAGAAATTTCAAACATTCCTCAACAGAGAGAAATTAGTGTGATAAATTTCTATGAATCCATTACTCAGCTTTATAATAGCAACTTGAGTACAAAGTGGTTTCATGTATATTTCAATTCAGTTTTTTTCCCCCTAGAGTTGGCTAGCATCACTGTGTCTGTTAATAATTGATGCCAAGATCATTTGTAACTACACTCAAAAGGACATTTTTACCCCTTCGAAATCTTCCAAATTTCCAAGTGAGGGTGGTAAGACCAAACCCTCACTTCTGTGGCCTGTTTGACTCTCTCTTCTACAAGCCTGAGGCACATATCTCAAACGTGCAACAGCAGCCTAGTCAGCTTCAAGCATTCCACTGTGCAAACCATGGTAGAGCCTCCTTTGATCATAGGCAGCTTTTGCAGGGTGAAGAGGAGAGCACAGACTACAGACATCACAGACTTTGAAACTACTCATCTTACTCTCTGGGACCCAAGAGCCTTTTTTTTTTTCTTTTTTCAAAGAAGAGAAAAAATAAAATCAGAAAAGGAAAATACCAAAAGCACTAAGCACACCTAAGGTACCCTTACCCATATCTTGGTATTGTTTTAATATAATTAGAGAATGAGAATTTTTCTTTTTCCAGAAAGAAAAGTGAAGGGAAAATTAGAAGGAAAAAAAAAAAAAGGAGAGAACACATGTACTAGCTCAGATGATGATCATGGTCTTACGCTAACACTGTCACTTTGTAGACAGTGGGTAGAGGGTGCACATGCTTATACACCAGAGGATACAGGTGTCCTGATTCACCACTCTCCACCTTATTCCCCTGCAAGCTCCATGGATCCCCAGTGTTGTAAGTGTGTGTGCAGCCACACGTGGCTCTTAAGTGGGTACTGAAGTCCTGCTTCGGGTCCTCATACTTTCTTAGTAAGTGCTTTACATACTGAGCCACCTTCCAAGCCTCCTGACATTCTCTTGTTGGCTTCCATCTTCTTTATTGTCAACATAGATATTTGCAAACCTATGTGCAAAAGGGGTACTCCTCCAGCTATGCTCACACTAGCTAAAATACACTACACACAACTCATGGAAACAGTCAAAACTTACTTGACAGTCCAGTGCTGTTGATGTTTTGGTATTCACTATAGAAAACTGCCTTTTCAAGCATTCCTAGGAAAATAACAGCTGCAATCCAGAACTGGATTCTTAATATATCTTTCCAGTAACAGGCAGACCACAGCAGCCAGAGGACACCATATAATATGTAAACAATACACATCACCATGTAAAACTGCAGGAAGAGAAACAGTGTTAGCCTCTGACCCTCTTAACTCTAGGAAGCAAACATCTCTTGATTCTCCCACCCTTCATTTCTTAGTCTCTTTGGAAGCAGAAATAGAGGGCATGTCAAAGCATCACCTACAAAGCAATTAATTACTACTGAACTCTTAAAATACTTCAAAATTCATTTGGAAACAAGGAAGAGAAATACTCACAATCATGAGAGGCCAGTCTGATGCAGAGATGTACCCATGAGGACCCACCATAGAAAGAGAAACTAGTGAGAGCAGCGACAGGGAAGGAGAGGAAGAAATACAAGAGTTAATTAATAATCGATTTTTAAAAAACATTTTAAACATAATCTCATCTCTCCCTATCTATTTAAAAAGTGTACTAGTAATAAGATAAACATTAAGTTTTAGGTCTTCAAAAGAGATGTATACAACTAACAAATCTATCCTTGAAAGATATGTTTGAAACAGAAATGGTTCATATTAATGACAAAAACTATAGAATATAGATAATGTATGAATAGAGGTTAACTAACCATTTAAATTCCAGGCTGCATCTGGTTTCTCAGTTTTAATAGAAACAATGAAGATATGGAAGCCATCCTTCTGGGTCCTGGCTACAACATCCTGCAATAGCGAGAGTAAGTCTTTGTTCTTTGAGACAGATTAGTATATGAGATACAGTTATATAGTTCACACTTAAACAGTTTTAATAACTGAACAGATAAAACAAAGGTAAGGAATGACAGGCAGTGGAAGGAAGACCCTGCTGCCATTTTCTTTTTTTTTTTACCTCCCCCAGATCCAGGAAAGGGAACAAAAGGTTCTCATTCTGTGTCTTCTACCACTTACACTGCCACAGGTTCCCCATGCATTCTCATGCTGTGCTGCCTTTAATATTAGCACTCAAATATTTTTTCTGGGTTGGCCTTGGTGACACATGACTCTAATCCCAACACACAGGAGGCAGAGCCAGCCTGGTCTATATAAAGTTCCAAGCTATACAGGACCACAGAGTGAAATCCTATCTTTAAACAAAAATCTGATGGTGGCAGTGTCACATGCCTTTAATTCCAGAACTTGAGAGGCAGAGACAGACTTTGGGAGGCCTCTGGGAGGCCAGCCTGGTCTACTCTACAGACAGAGTCCCAGGACAGCCAGTGAAACCTATTTTGAAAAAAACAAAAACTAATATTGGAATTCTTATATTCCATCCTAATAACACCAAACATTGAATTTTAACTATATATTATTTTTTTAAAAATTGAGTTGAGAGACAAGTGAGATAATATCAAATATAAGTCAGACTAGCCAGAGGCGTTGAGTCTGAGCCAGTCTGGACAGCAGTAATATGGTGTCACAAAACAAAATATAACTACAAAATTGTTCCTCAGTCTCTACAAGGGATGGGTACCTGCACCATCCTCAATAGGTACCAAAATCCTTGAATGCTCAAGTCCTTCATATAAAACGCCAAGGCATTTGCATAGTCTACACATCCTCTTGTATGCTTAAAATCGCCTCTAGATTATTTCTAATATTAATAGAATGTAAATGCTATACAAACAGTTGTTATATCGGATTGTCTAGGGAATGACATGAAAAATGTCAGTAAATGTTCAATACAGAATTACTTCTCTGACTGTTTTTGATCTGCATTTGGTTGTATCCATGGATGTGGTATTCAGGGATACACAATCTGCGGGTGCTGAGGGCCAACTCACATGGAGTAAATGATTCAACTGCCTTAGCGGTTAAAGTCTTAGGTTGCTCTGCTACCAGCTATTCCACTAACAAATAAAGCTGTCCAGTGGGAGCTGGAGAGATGGCTCAGAGATTAAAAGCACTTGATGTTCTTCCAGAAGACCTGAGTTTAGTTCCCAGCACCCTACATCAGCTGGCTTACAACAGCTTATAACTCTTGTTCCAAGGGATCTGTATGCAGTACACACACACTTAAAAAAAAAAAACCCAAAACACTAAGAACTGCCCCTCAACGATGCTAATGACTCTTCCAATGGCCCTGCAAAGTCAATGTGGCACAGTCCACACCGAGAGCGTTCTCTCCTCCTCCACGGAACAGCTTGTGTAAAGAGTCTGTCCCTGCCTCTGCAGTCAATGTCTTCCTATTAGATTTCTATTTGGAATGGATGAGGAAAAATGTAAAGTCACTCTACAAAAGCTAAATTTAGTCTCTCCTATGCCCAATTCAGTCCTACACATACGTCCTCCTGAGCTCCTCTACTTGTACTCAGTCTTTTGCTTCTGGTAATTCCCCTAAATGCTACAATCTCCCTTTCCTGTGCTCCACTGTCCCTCCACTATACAGCCTTGAGGATGGAAGGCACCCACTGCTGTGCTGTCTTGTGCACTGAGAACTGACATTGCAAAACAAAACAGAACAACAACAAACAACAACAACAACAAAAAAACCCAAAAAACAAAAAACGGCTGCAGAACTAGTCTTCAGAGAGGTTATCTTACTATAATTTGTACTTACTGGATTTAAAGACAAAAGGGCTTACCGTTGATCCTTCCTGGCTTGAAATGTTTCTGATACCTGTTAGTTCTTTATTCTGGAAAAGAGTAAATCAGTTGCATTCTATATTACTACATTTTCATGGAAAAAGCACCTTTTAATAATTAAGATAAGGGAGTGGAGAGACGGCTCAGTGGTTAAAAGCACTGATTGCTCTTCCAGAGGTCCTGAGTTCAATTCCCAGCAACTACATGGTATCTTACAACCATTTGTAATGGGATCTGATGCCCTCTTCTGGTGTGTCTAATAAGATAGACAGTATACTCACATACATAAAATGAAATAAGTCTTAAAAAGAACCAAACCACTCTTTAAAAATAATAATTAAGATACAAGCACTAGAAGAAAATAGGTTTAAAAGTTGAGTATGAGAGATCAAGTTACACCGTACTTTGAACATAAATTAACAAAGTTCTTCTTAGACCGTGCTTCCTTAATAGTGTGGCTAATGCTGGAAAGTGGGTGCTGTTGGAGAAAGTGGAGGAAATAAACAGGGGCATTAGGTGCTAACATTCTGAACTTGGTCAAAGCCTGCAGTTTCTGAAAACCACTGAGGCACATGTGTGTAATGTTCTGTATGTTTGTTAAGCTTCCATATACATTTTTAAAAACTTCAATTTTTTTACTAAAGTTATTTTCATTTTAGAATTTTCAGGAAAAAGAAAACTAGACTGACTCATAACCTCCCTATCCACTTGACTTAGTTAGGACTTCTATTGCTGTGATAAACACCATGACCAGAAGCAGCCCGGAGAGGAAAGGGTTTAATTTTTACAACTCTCAGGTCACACCCTACGACTGAAGGAAGTCAGCGCAGGAATCCAGAGCCAGGACTGAGGCTGAAGCCATGGAGGGAAAACTGCTTATTGGCTTGCTTTCCATGGCTTTCTCAGTCTGCTTTCTTATACAAACCACAACCATCTGCCCAGAGGTCCTAAGCCACTGTTCCCATGGAGAACTGGGCCCTCCCACATTAATTATTATCAAGAAAATGGGGGGAAAGAATGAGAGATAAAATGGGAGAGAGTAGATCACAAAAACCTCTTGTAAGGCTGAAGAGAGAGAGAGAGAGAGAGAGAGAGAGAGAGAGAGAGAGAGAGAGAGAGAGAG